TAATCAATTAAAAAAACAAACTAACAAAATTAACGAAAAACGCGTATCTAAGATCCCCGTTTTAAAATCTCCGATCTATATCAAAATCCCAATCAGACAAACTAAGGACAAACTAAAATATCAAAAACACACTATTTTCAAACTGCTGAGACGAATCAAGCCTCAACGTAAAAATCCTTTACAGAGCTCTACCAGTCCAATGCCTACCAATTCGAGCGCTACTGATGAACCCTCTGCTCAAAGCACCTCCGGTAATCAAACTGCCGCTAGGAAATTCAAGATTAATCGAAAATCGTCAGAAAAATCAATTCCTTATTAATTTAAATTATATAACCAATCCAAGACTACATGAAAATCAACACGCACTGAATCTACAGAATTAAAAAGTTATTTTCTTCTGTAAAGGTTTGCAAGGCACTTTTGAGCACAATACTATCAATATCCAAGAAAGCATAGTTTCTGTTACACAAAATATGGCTTTTCAAATGAAATTCTTCGAGCAAATCGCACATCAAATAAATTTAAATTCAAATTAATCATTTGAGCGTCCTATCCATTCTTTCATTAAATCATAGGGAAATAACTATCCTCACTGAACATTTGCAAACTTTATACCATAAAGATCATCTGTTAGATTTTGAAACAATGCACCCTTTTGAGATACTGAATCTTTGCGAACTATCAATTGTAACTTTGCGAAATGAATCATATTCGTAATTTATGTACCTCTTCTTGACCGTAAAAACTTAGTGTTTTTGAATTATATCCGTTAATTATAAGGAATGAATTAATAAAGATCCCAAGCAATTTTACTTTGTAATTTGAAGAAGAAAGATTTTGCTCCAATTTAATCAAACTAAGTAACAATCCGCATTTATGTTTTTAATTACTAAACAGGCACATGTAAGCCATCTATGTTGGAAAATTGTCCTCATATTCACTTAAAATATACGTACTATTAATACTAATATTTCAATTGATATTAAAGACTGCAAGCAGATTGAATTATCATTGCCTTTACTTGAAAGTAATTTTAGCTTTTTAAATCCTTCGTATTACCAAAATCATTTGGAAATAATAGTTCATACTAAGTTGCAAAACCTTTCTTACGACTCTTACAGCTTTGGAACCATATTGTAACTGTAAATTAAATTTTCTCTAAGTTGGAGACCAACTTTTCGTAGGAGGGAGGAGTTATGGAATCCTGTTTTTAACATAACTATGTGGTACAAGCCCATTATTCCAACAAATTGAATTGTATGGCAAGCAAGCCCATTAAGAAATATTTGCTTTTTACTTCTTTTTTTTCGATACAGCTGTTATTTTTCCTATAAATACTAGAATTATATCGAGGCACAGACAGATTGTGTTCAATACTTGTAACCACTCTTCGTTCCTGCAATAAAGTCTGTTATTTTTTTACCATACGACGTGTGCATTCTTTATCTTGTATTCTTATCATTGCCACTCATTTATATACACGTTCACACCTTTTTTGCAGCTCTATGTTTTTTGTCGTTGTTCCAATTCTAAATGAAAATACTACAGGGTGACTTTGAAGTTGAGTCATTAATTTTCAGATAATGATTGTAGAAGGAAGATAAACCAAAATATGTGAGTAAAAATAAAAAAAAAATTAAAAAAAATTTTACCTTGTTTTATAAAGTATCCTCCCGACAAGTATTTCAGTGCGGACCTGTATTTGATCGTGAGGTCTTGGAGCACCGGCATGCCGTCCCCATGTGAGGTCTTAAGTCACCTGATTCACGAGCCCGTTGTACTACATTAACAAAGGCACGAGGGGTTGGTTGCACTCGATTGGGAAACCGATCCGCATAAACATGTGCCATTTTTTATTTCGTTTGAGCCACGCAACAGACACTATTCACTCACGCGTTACCGACTGACACTGACTGTATACAACTGAATGAAATAATTGTAAAAACATCGTTCCAAATTCTTTCGCTTTTTTGTTTCCGATGCGATGAACCGATAAGGCGGATTATATCCGTTGTCGCCAAACACGAGCACATAATATTATTATTGAGACAGGGCGGTACTCAAACTTCCAAGGGGCTATAACTTTGTTACTTTAATTTTACCAGAAAAATAGGTAAAGGAAAAAAACATTTCTTTTGATCAGATCTACTCACTGTTAAAATAAATGACTCAACTTCGAAGTCACCCTGTATATCTCATTTATCCAGTCAATCGGTAAGCGTCTGAAGAGATTACTGCGTCTTGTACTTAAACGCATAAATTTCAAAAATTCATTAATATCGAGCTTATTATTCGAAATCGTCTGGCCTGTCACTGCAACCCGCAAGCCCCTCGCCACAAGCAATCAGCAAGCTGTACGCGAAAACTAAGCAATTTAGCAAAAATATTGCAGATACCTATTTCGATGGCCCAAAAATTAGAAACATTTACGTGTAAAAAAATCCCAGATATCCTCAACCGTTTCAGTGAAAAAGGGGTTTTTGGGTTTCTCGCTGTTTTACGAAACACGGCCGGTTTCCGGAAAACCAAACTCTTACAACAATATTCGCAAGCCTTTATTACACTATTGCGCCAGCGGACATAACTTTGTAGCTATGTTATCAGTTTTGCGGCACTTTCGGCTATTTCACTGACTATACGAAAAACTTGAACGACAACTTGCTGGCTGCTATTGGAATTTAGTTGACAATATGGAAAAAATATATGACAACATAATAGGTAATATAAAACCTTGTTTAGGTCTTGCAACTGATAGAAAAGTGATTTGCTCGACAAAAAATACACCCTGGTATAACAAAATTATTGAGGCAGCTCAAAATTTGAGAGAAACAATACAAAAAATGTAGGTTCACAAAATCAAATGATGATTGGGAGATATATAAAACTTTTAAATGTTTGTATTTAATTAGAGAAGAAAAAAGAAAATTCCACGATAAACAAATCGATAGTAACAAGTGCGACAGTGTAAAGTTGTGGAAAAATTTTAAGAAACTGATCAATTCGAACCCGCATGACTGTGTAAATCAATTTCAATTTGAAAACTGTACCGAAACAAATTCCTTGGTGATTGCAAACAAACTAAATGAATATTTTGTGGAAAGTATTCTTGATAGTATGTGTACTGTCAATGCTGCACCTGACTTTCTAAATTTCATAGTGTATCATTGAATTATCTGAGAAGAAAATAAATAGCTTAAAATCCAACAACAACAGTACCGATATCACTAAGCACGTGCTGAAAAACTGTTTCGAAATTTTGAGATATCCTGCATTAAATTGGATCAATTGGTCACTGAGAAGGAGTTCTTTGTCTGAACATTAGAAATGCTCTACAATAACACCAAAATAAAAAATTCTAAAAGATGCAGCGATAAGAGACCAGACATTGAAAAATTATTGGGGTCCGTAGTGCAATTAATGCAGTTTATAGAAGAAAACAAATTTTTTGTCGAGGCGCAAGCAGGCTTTCGCAGAAAATATACCACAGAAACGGCTTTCCAGTTGGTTACTGAGAATTGGAGAAGAGGCATAGACTCAGAATTAATTGTCATAGCAGTATTTTTGGATTTGAAGAGGACATTTGATATGATTGATAGAGATTTTTTGTTGGGTAAATTGAAGACATATCGTCGGTTCGGAGAAACACCGTCACAAGACGAAAACCACAAAGTTTCAGTAGGAGCATCTGAAAATGCCAGTATCTTTGCATCACACATTAGGGTGGCATGATAAATAAGATAATATTATGTGGTTTGTGGTTTGGAAAGTTCTAAACAGATGCTCTGAGTGGACCTAAAGTTTATTTAGCTACAATTACCTTAAAAGGTGATTTTGATTGTATGTGACCGTTTTCTTCTAAAGTTTAGGAACATTTTCTACTAGTTTTCTGCACTAAACTAAAACAAGTTTTTTAATAACAGAGTTTGTTTTGTTAAGCATATTACACAGGCCTCCAAATCTTCGAAATGAAACATAAAGTGATATAATAGTCAAAAAAAAAAAATAAACGCGGATCTTCTAACATTGATAACAGGTACAAAATAAGCTACAAATTATTATAGTAGTCTTAATAATGTCACACAGGCCCCTCAATCTTCGACATGAAACATAAACTGATAAAATAATCAAAACAAGATATACATGGACCCTTTAACGTTAATAACAGGTACAACTTAAACTACAAATTATTATAGTAGTCTAAATAATATCACACAGGCCCCTAAACCTTTGAAATGAAACATAAACTGATACATTGGTGAAACAAAATATACATGGACCCTTTAAAGTTGATAATTGGTACAACGTAAACTGCAATCTATTATAATAGTCAAAATAAAATTGAGGTATGACTAGTTTTTCGGGTTTTTCATCAAACAATGAAAGTAATTCTTTTTTTCTTTTCACTTATACCTACTTTTTGTTTTTAAGCCTTATTTAAGGCTACGTAAGAAAAATCTGTTTCTTGACGTCTCGCGTTCACAGCATTAGCTTCTGAGAATGCTGCATCTGCGTATGATGTTTTATAAAAAAGTATTCCAGGTGACGCTTTCTTTACCATGAAGATCTTGATATCCGTCACTTTTACTGTTTCACCTACAGCATTGTTGAAAACATTTTTCATACCAATCTTTATAGAAAGATCTTTGAGATCAATCATATCCGTGTGGCAAAGTTCGTGTACAGTAAATGGGTTCCCAGTCTTTTTAGCTTGCCTGATAATTGTGACATATTGATCAGGAACACAAATTGATCCAGATTTTTTGTTTTTAGTTACTGCCCGTTCAATAACAGCATGAACATGGTATTCGTTCTGCGTGTGTCCAGTGATAAGAAATTTGTGTATAATTGATTCGACAGATACCAGTTTAGAAGTGGCGTACATGTAAAGAGCGATAATAAACTTGTTTTTATTTTGTCCCGAACAGTTATCGGTATAAAAAATGATATCAAATGTTTTTGGCCCGTCTGAAATATTTTCTTCTAAATTTTTTAAATAATCCCATACACAAGAACCAATTTAATTTGCTCCTCTGGCAGCCTCTCCCTCATTGCAGATATAACAAGATGTTTTCTTGGTTTGCATTTCATACAGGGTTAGGTTGAATACGTTCAATTTTGATACATAGTACAAAGATGACGCATTCTTAGTGGGGCACGGCAATACAGCTTGAAGACCGAAGACTGTGACAATACTATTGGACTCTTTGTCGCGTTGTTTTTCTATACGGGAGAGCTCCTTCTTGCACAGGTGAATATCATAGTTATTTTGTATGTGCTGTTTCTCATCTTGAGGTGCTTCCGCGTAAGCCAGGCATAGCTCGCACTGGTCTTTTTTAGGAGTGAAGAATGCAATATTAAATTCTTCATTGAATATTGTATATTACATCGTATAGTTAGAATAAGGAACATTTCTTTCCTGGCACAGCATTTTGTAATCTCTGTAGAGATCAGCAACTGATTTTCCTCCTTCTATGTACTCCTTTTTGCTGACAGCACGACAATAATGGCTAGGTATTCTTGGTATTTATATGATCTCTTATACCATCTTTAATGGTTTCAGGAACAGTCGAGTGTTTTCCATGTTTACACACTCTAATGTTCTGACTATCAACGTTTAGATAGTATGCTTGGTTTAGCCGTCGACTACCCTCTAGCTTCACGTAATATCTATATTTAGGTTGAACAGAAACCATACCGCGAGAAATGAACTCCCGCTGCCTTTGTAGGTCACCCATCGCCCAAAATTGCTGAAAAATCTGTTTTCTCGCTTCTTCTGAGATCTTCATGGAGCACTTCAAGCGGCATTTTTCACCACATGCAGGTTTTATCTTCTTTTCTTCGCGCTCAACTTTGATTCTTTTAGTGGTTCCATCGCTTTGCTTTATCGTTCGTGCGGATTCATAGCCTAAACGTTTGGCTTTGTTTTTTTGCCACTCGCTTTTGTCAGTTTTTCTCTTCCTGGATATTTTTTGGGTTTGACATGGGAATTGTACAGATCGTTTTTGTTTTTGTTTTCGGGATACGTCCAGAGGCTCATCGATCTCAGAATCGCTCAAATCGTTAGGGAAAAAGTCGGGGTCTGCTTCGGAACCCCCAGATCCGAAAGGTTCGGACAACTCGTCCTCAGTACTTGAAGTGTCTGTCCATCCTCCTGATGATCTAGGCTCTGGAAAAATAACAGTAGTAGAAAGAATGGTTTATATGCGTTGTTGAGGAAAACCAACCTCCCTCGATCATATCATTATGTTCTGCACTAACAGCTTCGTTGGTTGAAATTTCAGCAGACATATTGCTATACAAGAGTCGTTTCCCCTGTCAACGTCTGCGACTCTCCAAATACTTTGCTCGCCTAAATTTAAGACTGCCTTTGATTTAGCGTTTAAGCATGAGATGCGTCCTCTGTTGGTTGGCCATGGTGCGAATCGAGTACCTTGAATTGAAATATTCCATATTAACTATCATCGGATATCAAAACGTAAGTCGGCTGGTCATACGTTTCAACGTCTATTGACGTGAACAGCTAATCAGCAATAGACGGGAAAAAGATATTTGATAGATAGGTAACCTATTTTGTATTTTCACAGCTAAGTTACGTTTTGACGTCTGCTGATTAGCAATTGATATCTTTGACACGATAATGAAACACATAATTTCAAGTATAAATTACAGTAATTGCAACTGAAACGTTTGAGATGTTTTGCCTCGGAGGGTACTGTGTCACTGGCTCTCCAACTATTTACTAAAGCAGTGTAGAATAAGGTCACAACTCGAGATGATTCATCTAATGTTAATGATATTTCGAAAAATACTTTGGTACAATACAGTAACATATCAAAATATTATACTAGGTACAAAAAAAATTCCAAAGTTATCAATGTTTTCGTCAATATATACTGTTCCAAGTCTAAATGAGACACTAACGTCTAAAATATTCAATACGAAATAATTCTTACTTATAAAGAATAATGCCCCAATTCAACATGTGACAATCTAGCCCTAAAAAATAATTGCATCTGAAACCTAAATTGTGAAAATGGCTGTTCCATATCAAGATGTGCCAATTTTCCTTACAAATACAAAATGTATAATACGTACCTTTTCAAAATATGACGCTTTTCCACAAAAGCGGCGAACCTACTGTCACGGAAACTAGAACACAACTGATATTGTGCCGGTTTATCACAGAAGTAGGCAGCATAAGCCTGGAATAGCAAACTGTCACATCGCGCCATCTAGCGGTTACCGTATGAGTACAAGAAGTAACACTTTTCTCACAATGAATTTGAATAATTTAGAGTTAGTTGATCGGAAAGACTAGAATTCAGTAGTTTTTGACTTGTGACAGTGTTTCTCGGAACCGACGATATGGTATATCAGGAAGTGTTTTAGATTAGTTTGAAAATTATTTGTCTAAAAGGATGCAACTTACAAAAGTTAATGACACTATTACATCAAAAATTGAAAATACGTTGGGTGTTCTACAGTGCCGTATCCTGGGACCACTTCTTTTTATTTATACATAAACGATTTACCTGCCATAGTCAAACATTGCACAATTCAGATTTTCGCCGATGACACTATGACTTATATAAGTACTAAAAATATTCAAACTGATATGTATCTCTTATATAAATGAAGACTTAAATTTGTTTCAAACTGGTTAGCGTCTAACAGACTCAAATTAAATACAAGTAAAAAGAAAACTATTAATGTTAATCGGAAAAAACAATGTACAAATATTCGACTAAATATTGATGGTGAAGATATTGAATTCATAGAAAAATTTAAATACGTTGGGGTTTTTGTTGAGTTTTGATTAATTTTTGATATTCATTATGAAAAAGTTATAAATAAGATTAGTAGTAAAGTGGGATATTTATTAAGAGTTTCTGGATATCTGAGTTCACATAGCAGAAAAAATATTTATAATACTATCATTCTTCCAAATTTCTTGTACTGTTCGACTATTCTATATTTAGCAAATAATTCTATTTTTGAAAGACTGCAAATTTTATAAAACAAGTGCATGAGAATAATACTGACTAAAGATAAATATAGTCCGATTAGACAAATGCTTAGCAAATTGAAATGGCTCAATGTAATTTTTTTTATCAAATATCTTGTAATAATATTCATTTACAATGTAAAAAATAATATATTTCCACCAAGTCGAACTAATTTAACATCATCAAATGCCGACTATCATTTACATAATACCAGAAATAAAGATGACTTCCATTTAAATACCAAAAAGTATAACATATGTTATAAATCTGTATTCCATCAAGGGTTGATTGGATTTAATAAATTATATACAGAGATAAAAGACCAGAAAACTTTGACAAAATTCAAAGTAAAATTGAGGAATCACTTGTTAAATCTACAATATTATAGCTTGCACAGCATTTACTAATTCTAAGTGGTTTACAATTATTCTGTTTATGTAGCTATACGTTTTAAATAAATCTTTCTACTACTACTTTTTTTTATTCTAAAAGACCGTCACCAGGCCACAACCTGGAGCGAGTGGGTCTACGAACCCTTTTGATGTGCTGGAACTCACTGATGGTATATCTTCTCGTACGCAGGCTGTCTTTTTCTTCATCATCTTCATCATCTATCACCCTACATCTTCCTTCCCGGATCAACCTCTGGCATGTACCGATTTGGTACGAGGCTCCGCATATCTTTGACCTCTATCATTTTCCTAGCTAATATGCCTCTTGACATATTCGTGACAGCAGTCTAGTTGTCAAGAGACTGCAGCATCGAGTTGACAATGCTTTGCGGGGTAACTTCCGTGCCTAAGGACTGGCTGCATTCTTGTCTATCTCCCATCTAGGACACCTGAAAAAGGTATGGAAGGCATCGTCCATGGCTCCGCAGTACATCCAGGACGAATCGTCGCAAATGGCGAATTAAAATACGCCTGGAAACACCAGTGCCCTGTCAATAGCTGAGTCAGGTAGAAATCCACTTCGCCATGCTCCCTTTTAACCCATACCTCCAGATTTGGTATGTGTCCTCGTCCAGCGACCCTTAGTGGTAACTTGCCATCGCTGCTGCCAACTTCTCACCAGTTCATCGTACGCTGCTTGTCTTCTGGTGTTAGTGGGATCCTCCTGCACCTGCCGTCTCATTTCCACTGCCAGGTCTATGGGTACCGTATTAGAAATGACCTCAAAAGCCTCAGCCGATACCGTGAAGTATGCACTACTAATTCCCAGCCCTATCCTTCTATCAACTCTCTGCAGCTGGCAAGATGACGCTTTACCCTCATGACCACTTCCCATATGGGAGATGCGTATAGCATTAAAGAGTAGGCCAGTGAACCTAAGGTCGCTCTCTTGCTTGCTCGCGGACCTCCAATGTCAGTCTGGATAGAAGTGCAACTAGTTTCGCAGCCCTGGTCGCCGTCCTGCTTATATGCTTCCCAAAGGTGAGCCTACCGTCAATCCATACGCGCAGATATAACAATGCCTTCCCTGGTCGAACCTCTTGTCCATCTACCAAGAAAGTTACTTGTTGTAATCTCCTTTTCTTGGTGATTATTACTGCTTCCGTTTTTTCTGGAGCTAAGGTCATGGACCTGCCTTTGAGCCAACAGCTGACCTCATCAATAGCCCAGTCAGCCCAGGAGGTGCTAGTACTCCACTCCAATAAAACCCTTGTGAAATGCCCACAGTCTACAAAAGACAAGAACCAACAAGTCCTATATCCCACCTTCGTCGAACTTGACCCTGAGTTCGGGAAGTGTCCGCCGAAGGTATGACGCTGGGAGGGCTCCCGATAGAGTTATGTTGCCAAAGGAAGGGCAAAAGCGGGTCTTCCGGCGCTTAAAAGATGAAGCGTACCAGCACGGACCGGACAACGACGACTTGGCAATGGACTGGTCGAGGCAATGGTTATGAAACGACTATGGCGACATGGGTGGATAGATGACGACATGGCAATAGAAACGGACACAGAATAAATAATGAAAACATGGACAGACGTTTGCAGAAGGTAGAAGTTACGGTGCAGGGACTCGGAACCCCAGTTATCGGTCGGTGTTGGTGGTACTCGCCTCCGAGAGGCAGGAGATGACTCCATCTTTTCCGTCAGTCAGCCACTGAAGAGATCGCGGGAAAAAACTCCTCCAAAGAAAGGTCGGAAAACAGATAACGTGAGTCAAGGAAAGGTGGTGGGAGAAATGAGAGAGCTGCTAGAAAAGTTGTCACGTTCTGGCAAGGAATTATCTGACATAGTGCCAGCAAACACCAAGGCTGAGATTAAAAGGGGGGTCAATGCTATGACACGTATTGCGGATGTGGTGTTGAAGAAGCTACGAGAGTTTGAAGAACTTCGCTCAGAGGTTATTGGGTGCCAGACTTCCGAAGCGAGTACGCAGCTCGAAGCAACCATGGGTAGGGAGGCATGTTATAGCACCAAGGAGGTAGGGACACAAGTAATTATGGATCAGCAAGGATTGGAAATCGGCAGAAAAATAGAAAATGGGAGTACCTTCGAGGACTTTGCCACCTTTTTGGACGCCCAATGGCCTGAACGTGTTTTTAAAGTCACGGAGTGCGTAGGGCCTAATCCGCTTAAAGCAGGGGATGAGTGTGATGTATCCCTAGTTGTTGACGTTACCAGTCCGGCAGCAAAAGGTGCGCTTAAGACTGTCAAGGACTGTTATCCAGAAATCTCCGATCTACTTGCTGGCCAAATGGTAGAAGGTAAAACGGAATATATGGAAATGGCGACTAAGATATCTTCGAGCCAAGGGATACGTAATGATAAATCTGGATTTATTTTCGTACTGCCTTTTAAAGTAGACCTCAATGGAGTGAATGATATGCGAGACCTACATCAAGCTTTTTGCAACCTGAAGGATGAATCAAAGAGACAAAACCGGTACAAGATGGTAGTAACTACCCCAGAAGAGCTTGATAAAGAGTACACCAGAAAGCTCCTGGAGTGCGTTTTCAGGAACAGCGGTATACAGGCAAAGTACTCTATACCAGGAAAAGTTTCAGCGACAACAGATAGGCCAATAAGGAAGCCACCAGACCGACATCAAAATCGAGCGCCACAGGAGACGGTGGTGGTTAAAGAGCAAGGTCGAACCTTAGCAGAGTTGGTTGAAACCGTTAAATAGAACGTCGATATCAAGAAGATAGGTATGAATGTCACAAGCATCAGGAAACAGGAAAACGGTGACTTGGTTCTTATGGTAGAAGGGGGAGGCAAGGCAACTGCCTTGAGAAATGAGATAGTGGCCAATGTTAAAGAGGTAGATGCACGTACAAGGAATTTAGACGTCACTCTGTTTATACTTGGCATCGATCCATCGGTAACAGTAGAGGAGGTCTCGCAAGCTATCATATCCGAAACTGGTATCGAGAACCATCGCTTTCGGATAGCAGCACTGAAAGCTGGGAAGTTTGGCAACCAGTCAGCGACCGTGGTAATGAATAAGGAAAGGCTTCAACTGACTAGAGTTTTGCCATAGAGCTGGAAGGTGTACCGGAGCGGACAGAAGAGGAGATTGCAGGAACTGCGGCCAGGGAGGACATCAACGGAATTAGTGCAAGAACACCTCGTTTTGCACTACCTGCAAGACAGCTGGACATCGAGCAGACCAAATTAGGTGTCCTGGATTTAGGAAACTGGTGAACCAGGCAAGGCTTTCAAGCCTGGCTCATTGAAGTAATCTGGCTTACAGGGGATAGAAGGACCACGCAACAACCACAAACTCCATGGTTTGTATTCTCCAATGTAATATGAACAGGTCCAAGTTGGCTCAAAATGTGCTTCAACAAACGACCCAGGAATACGGGGTGGCATGGTCATAATTTCTGAGCAATACAAAAATGAAATATCTGTGCCTTAGAGGTATATAGTAGTTGTAACTCCATATAATTCAATTCAGAGAACAAGCAAATTAAAGATTGAGTTAGTAGCAGAATGGCTTTTTGTTCATGTTACTGTTAATATGCGAATATAGTTTTTTTGGAAAACATATTATATGGTACACAGAACAGTAACGCTTCAAGTTCATGATCTTAGAATTTGATATTCAGATTATTTTGTGAGTTACGACTATTTACTATGATAATAAAATCCAGGTGCAGCATAGGATGAAACACAGTAAGTACAATTGGTGGACATAGGCTACATTTTATTATTACAAAAAATGACATCTGGGGAATATACAAGTATATTCAATCGTCGTCATCGTCATCATCTCCTTGTTGACCCAGCACAGGAATATTTTTATGAAAATCATGAAATGCTTCTGGTATCCATTGCAGAAGCATGAGGAGACGATCGTGCTTTTTCTTGCTAAGTCCTTTTTGGGTTTGACGCGGCGAACACAGTTCTAGTGGTAACCCTATCGGTTTTCTATAGGATCTATTCATGTTTACCATTTTGTAGTCCTCTTGGAATATGTGTTTTATAGTAGAGTATCCCTAGATCCTGTTTTCGAACCTCAAGACACAGCGCTGATGACACTAAAAGCTTTTGTCTATTGTCTGTTTCTTTTGAATGAGAGGTGATCCTGTGCCGGAATATAAGGCCTCGAAGTTGTTGGAGTCATCTAACTGCATCTCGAAAACATATTTTCATGGTTGGTTGTTTTTTTATAACTCGTTCGAAGTGCATGGATGTGATCAGCTTCCATGTGTGTGTTTGTCCAGGTAGAAGAAACTTGTGAATGATACACTTTAATGAAGGACTTGCTATTTGTAATATGTGCGTATGTATGGAGAAGCGGCTGTTTAGCTCTATCAGAAAATCACTAGCTGCTTGTTCTATTTAATATATTTCATGATTATCGTGGTTAGGCGCTACGATCATTTACTCCACGTAAAGATTAACCTGGGATACTAATTATACGCAGATAATTACAAAAACTGCAAAAATGGAGTTTCGATCGTTTACCTCTAAGGCACAGATATGCTCCAACTTGTACATGGACAAAAGCGGAACTGCTGCAATTTGGGTTAGGAACCACTCGAGCTTCCCCGTATCCGACTATGGCTCTGAAAACGGACTCGTATAGTTAAAGACTAGAACGAGAACCTACGTAAGCATCTACTTGTCTCCAAACGACAAAGTTGACATATTTCGGGCGAAGTTGGATCAATTGGAAGAGACTTTGCAAAACTTGGGCAACAACGTGGTCTTAGCTGGTGATTTCAACGCAAAATCGACCGCATGGGGCATCTATTGGACCTGTTCGAGAGGGGCAGCGATCATTGATCTAGAAGCTAGACTCGATCTAACTATTCTGAACACTGGCAATACAATCACCTTCACAAGAAGTGGTCAGAAAGGGTCAATCATTGATATTTCTCTGGCATCTTCAACAGTAGCGCGCGCGGTAACAGAATGGGCAGTTCTGGAACATTACTCTGGAAGCGACCACCAATACATTAGGTTCAGGATCCAGCTAGCTGGTGGAAGAAAGGACAAACCTACGCGAACTAGTCGGATGGAATATTTCTCGTTTGAACAAGGATATACTGGGTAGAGATCTTAACAATATCAAAGTTATTGGTACTCTAAATGGAGAAATATCTACGCAGCATGCAGAGGCCTTGGTAGAGACCACCATGCGACAGATCACAAGCTGCTGCGACGCCGCCATGCCTAGAAGATCTGCGAAATATTACAGGAGACAAGTATATTGGTGGAATGACGATATTGCAGATCTTCGTAAAAAAGCAGCTACGACGCATTGCACAGAGGGCTAGGAGAAGAGACCAACGGAATGTAGTCATGGAGCAGCAATTCAAGGAAGCTAAAAGGCATCTGAGAATGGCGATTCGTTCCAGTAAGATGGCATGTTGTAAAAGCCTCTGTAATGACGTAAACCAGGACGTATGGGGCTAGGCTACAAGATAATAATGCGTCGTCTTGGACAGCAGAAACCTGGTGGCCCATTTGAGCTGGAAAGGATGAAGGAAATCGTAACCACTTTGTTCCCTGAACACCCGGACAAACCCATTAAGGATTTCCATGTCCACGGAAACTTTGATCTTTTCACTGAAGAGGAACTGAGAGCCGTCGCTAGCGTAGCGAAAGTGAGGAAGTCTCCGGGTCCCGACTGTGTCCCGATAGAGATCATTAAAGCTATAGCGCTCGAACACCCGACTATTCTGCTAAACATGTACAACGCTTGCCTCCAAGCAGGTATCTTTCCAACAAGATGGAAGGTACAGAGGTTAGTACTACTAGACAAAGGAAAGGGTCCACCCATAACACCGTCATCATTTAGACCACTTTGTATGTTAGACGATGCGGGCAAAATGTTTGAAAGGCTTATTCGACAGAGACTACGTGATGCAATCGAAGACGCTGGAGGATTATCCGCCCATCAACATGGATTCCGACCGCGCCATTCAACTGTAGGAGCACTGCGAGAGGTGGTGCAAGAAGCGCATATGGCCTGGCGAGGAAATCACCGCACTCGCAGCATTTTCGTTCTGATCACCTTCGATGTGAAAAACGCCTTCAATTCAGCAAGGCGGATCGATAGCATGGATGCCCTAGAGGAGTGTTTCAATATTCCGACATACCAACTACGAGTAATCAACGACTACCTTTCCAATAGAAGTCTGATCTACGAAACCTTAGAAGGTCAGCAGGTTCAGAAAGTCACTGCCGGTGTAGCTCAGAGTTCTGCACTTAGGCCGGACCTGTGGAATGTGATGTACGACGAGATTCTAAGAATGGAGCTGCCAAAATGTGCCCAAATAGTAGGGTTCGCTGACGATATCGCTGCCGTAACAGCTAGGGACATGGAGTCTGCGCGCCTAGAAACCGAGTTCGTAGCGCACTCGGTGCGCTTTTGGATGAAACAGCACGGCTTAGAAATGGCTGCAGACAAGAGCAAAGTGACTATACTCACCAGGCAAAGACTGCATCCCCTACCCCTGGTGCTGAACCTTCCGGGAGCCACCATCACCTCCCATGAAATGGTGAAGTACTTGGGAATAGTGTTGGACCAAAAGCTGGCTTACAAGCAACATCTCACTGAAGTGGCAAACAAAGCTCCAAAAGTTGTGGCCGCGCTATCTAGGATTATGTCAAACGTTGATGGCCCTAGAGCTGATAAGAGGTGGGTCCTGATGAATGTCGCTAATTCAATCATGCTATACGGAGCGGAAATCTGAACTAGGACAATGACCATCGAAAACCATAGAAGAAGACTCGTATCAGTTCAGAGAACGGCAGCTTTGCGAATATCCTCAGCGTATCGCACCGTCGCTGAGGGGGTCATTTTGGTAGTGGCAGGCGCCATACCGATCGATCTTTTAGCCCTGGAGCGTCAAAGGTTGTATGACACCAAAGATCTACCACAAACGCTCATTGCAGTCAGACATCAGACCCTTCGAGAGTGGCAGGAAAGATGGGAAACCGACTCTAAGGGTTCCTGGACTCACACGCTTATCCAGCAGATTGAACCCTGGAACTGTAGGAAACATGGGGATGTAAACTTCTACATCACTCAGTTTCTTACAGGACACGGGAACTTCAATCGATACCTCAACGTGCGTACCATTAAGGATAGTCCCTACTGTCGCTATTGCCTGACAAACATCTATACAGCCTAACACACCTTCTTCGATTGTAGGAGATGGGCTGTATTGAGGAACCAATTGGAACAGGGATTAGGATTAACTTTCACACCTGAGTCGGCGAGCACAAACATCTCCGGTACTTCTAATCCGACAGACCCGGGATGGGAGATGTAGGGTGCGATCGGACGATTACTATGAGGAAAACTGAAGAACAAGATGATGAAGACAAGACAGCCTGCGTGCGTGAAGTTATGCCATCTTGGCCGTTCCAGCAAAAAGCCGGTTCGTAGATCCACTCGCTCCAGGTTGCGGCCTGACGAAGGTCCTTTAAAAAAAACTACTACTACTAATACTACTACTAATACTACTACTAATACTACTACTCCCTTTCTAGGGGAACCAAGACCTTGACGTTGGTGAGAGGGCTCATTAACCTTCAATATCCAGGGAGCGATGCCGGCGGTAGCGTAGCTACTGGTAGGGCCACCCATGCCGGTAAGGTCTCGAAGTGATGAAGGCGAAGCCAAGAAGGTTCCCACAAAACAGCGTCTGTCCCGGAGCGGGCGGCTGTTAAAGAACTGATGCGATGACGACCTGGCTATGGACCGGAGGGAGTAAACCCGGGACGGAGACCCGATATGACTAGATGACGATTTGGCGATGTTTGAAGGAATTTTATTAAAAACTATTAAAAAATTTATGGAATGTCGGAGATAAAAAGCAAATTACCTCAGGAGGGTAGGACGAAATGTCCAGAATCCCTCCCCTTTAAGGGCTGCCCCACGGATTCTGGGGGGGGGGGGACACAGATCCGAGCGTTGAAGATATCGCGGTAGGCAACCAGGCCGCTCATTATACTGGAAGGAAAGACCCGGTAGGCGGAAGGAAAGGAATATAAGTCCGTTCGTAAGGAGAGACCTTTTAGTCAGGAGCCCACCACGTGAAAGATCGCAATCGTTCTCATAAATTGATATGGCTTGGTCAGGCAAACAGGATGGTAACCCTGCAAAATGTAGGAGGAAGATGATCCAAATGACAGAGACGAAGAACAGCTATCTCCCATTATGAGGAAGCTAGTCGAGAAGGTCAACGAACTCAAGGTCGCAATCTGAATAAACGTCAACACAAAGACGACGATCAAAAGGGGCGTGGAAGATGTTGGAAGGCTGGTGGAAAAGCTGAGGCAGGCATCACTATCCAGTAAAATGGAGGAAAATACAAACGCTGTCAAAGAGCAAGGAGCCCAAGAAAGTCAGAAAACGTATACGGACAGCAGTACAGAGACAGAAGGAGTGTGGCATAACAGGAAAAGGAATGAGGAGGGGTTTGCTTCTGATATTTCGGAAGCAATCTACAAGAGCCAAGACGACAATGTAGCCTTCTTGAGCATAGCAGGAAGACGCTGGCCTTCTCTAGCATACAAGAAGACAGAAGAGATAAGCGGAAACCCAGTATGGGGCAAGAATATGGAGAAGGACTTGGTTATGTGCGCTAAGGAAGATCAAACCTATGATAGAGGTATCGGCGAACTTTTTCGGTCAAGGTACCCAGAGATAGAAGCACTAGGAGTAGAGCAAAATGCGACCGAAAATGTATCATTCCTAAAATATGATACAAATATATCGAATAGTAAAGGACAGAAGGAACATAGCACAAAATACGTGAATAAGGTGCTGCTGGACAAGAAGGAGCAAAATTCGTTCGCGAATTTGAAGGAATTGCGGGAGATATTGGTCAAAGAAAATAGGACCAGTATTGCTGTACCAATACCAGACATGGATAGTGAGGAGCAGCTCAAGAAGATGCTCGAGTGCGTATTCATAGGGACAGACCTACAGGTCAAATTATACCCCATAGAAAGCAGGGTGCAAAGGAACAGCCCATGCATACGGAACATCCACCAAGACCCAAAAGGGAGAGATCTATGGAAGCCATAATCGTCACTGCGGAAGGCATGACTTACGCAGAGCTACTCAAGAAAGTGAAGGATGAAGCAAAGATCGAAGAGACAGGAGTGGCCATTCAAAGCGTCAGGCAAACTAAGAAGGGGGAGCTTTTAATGACCGTGCATAAAGACAGCGGCGGAGTTCGCAAGCTTAAAGAAGCTATAGATGGGCTGGTAGAAACCCGAATATCTACAAGGAACGGAGGCCAAGTGACGCTGCATGTAAGGGGCATAGATGGCGTGGCAACAACGCAAGAAGTGGAGGACACCTTACGGAAAGTGGCAACCGACCGCCATAAGGAAATAGTAGTCAAGTCACTAAGACCAACAAAGAACGGGACTCAGGTGGCAACGGTAATGGCACCAAAGCCTGCAGCAAGCGCCCTGATAACCGCAGGATATATTAAAATAGGGGTCGTAAATAGGTGCACGATCCAAGAACGAGTGAGCATCAAAACTTGTAGCAAATGCTGGGAAACGGGGCATCCTCCGGGAAAGTGTAACGGAACAGACAGGAGGAATTCGTGCCTGAATTGTGGCAAAGCTAGACATAAGAAGGGAGAGTGCAAGGGAGATGCATACTGTCCATTATGCCAGCAGAGCGGACACCGCGCAAACTCTTTTGGCTGTCCAATTTACAGACGTAAGCTGAAAGCTATGCAAACTAGGAGACTGAACACCCAAAGGTCTGTAACATCCGTGGATGACCATATGGAGCAAGGCGCTAATACTCCTCCCGCACACAATGCTCAAGTGCCTCCAGATCAACCTCAATAGATCCCGTGGAGCCCACGATATGGCGTTTGCGTTGGCTATGGAAAAAGGCATTGACGTAATCCTAGCAGCTGAACCGAACAGGAAAATCTGCGCGCAGGCAAAATGGCACACAGATAAGAACTACGATGTCGCAGTATACATCCGTAATAAGAATCTAGCTATCGAGTCCATCGCAAGAGGAGATGGTTATGTAATGATACGGATCGGTAACATTAACATGTTCTGCAGCTATTGCTCCCCAAACATAAGAGTCGAGGAATACGAGAGATACCTAAAGGCACTCTGCGAAGACATAGAGATGACAGGAGGCGAAGCAATCCTGTTCGGGGACCTGAACGCGAAATCGGTAGAATGGGGCTCTCCTACCACAGTTAGGCGAGGCAGGATACTAGGGGAATGGATTGCGTCACTTAACATGGTCACTATAAACGACGGTCGTGTACCCACTTTCAGCAGAGGCGGTTCACAGTCCTTCTTAGATGTCACCTTCGCTTCTCAAGAACTCTCGGGAAAGGTACACGTATGGAAAGTGCTGGAGGAGGAGGAATCGCTCAGCGATCACAGATATATCTACTTTGAAGTCGACATCCACGACAGAGTATTTTAACAGGTACGCTATACGCCTTTTGTGAACAAGGAAAAGTTCAGACAGTATATCGTCTTATTTAGAAAATACGCCAGCTTCCCATGAACTATCCCTAAGAGAATACTTGAGCATGATGAAAGTAGCTATGGCGGAGAGCGTAGTTAAAACGAACAACAACATCGCAAAGGTTCCTTATTGGTGGAATTCGGAAATTGAAGCAAAGAGGGGGCACTGCATAAAAGCGCGCAGAGAATTCACTAGGAAAAGGCGAAAATCAGAGGTTACAACGGAAGAACTAATAGCAACACACGACGCATACATCACCAATAAGAAGGATCTGAGGCGTCTCATACACGTAGCAAAAAAAAATGCTGGGAAGAAGGAATTGCTGCGCGAAAACCTGAACAATGACATCTGGGGAGAGGCATACCGAATTGTAACAAAACAAATGGCTACCACTGGATCTCCCTGCAGCTTAAGTGACGCACGGAAGGTTCAAATAGCAAGGGAACTCTTTCCGGAAAGGCAAGATATATGGCTAAGGGAACCCATCGAGGATGATATAGATCCTTTCAGTATAGCAGAGCTTGAAGCGGAAGTGCAAAAGTTGAAGAACGGAAAGGCACCCGACCCTGATAATGTCCCGCCAGAAGCAATAAAGGAGCTACTAACGTTGAGACCAGACTTGTTGCTGAGCCTGTTGAAAAATTTGCTTAGGGAACAGTCTTTTCCAGAAGGATGGAAGAAGGCGAAGGTGGTTTTACTAAGTAAGGGCGGCAGGCCACCAGAACTTGCATCTTCTTACCGGCCCATCTGTCTGCTGGACACAATAGGAAAGCTGTATGAAATCCTGATTCGCGAGAGACTACTGCTCGTAATGGAGGAAACAAGCGGGCTGTCGCCATACCAGTTCGGGTTCAGAAACGGCAGAAGTACAACAGACGCGCTTGAGGCCGTGCTGCAAATTGTGGAGAAGACCAAGAACAAGTGGTGTGCACTCGTGACCTTAGACGTTCGAAATGCATTTAACACAGCCTCGTGGGAAAATTATGGAAGAACTGAGGAAGCAGAATATTCCCAGGTACTTGCGAAACATCGTGAGCAGTTACCTAGAAAACAGGACGATAAAGGTAGCCAAGGAAGAACTTCCCATGACCACAGGTGTTCCCCAAGGATCCGCTTTGGGCCCACTTCTGTGGAACATCTTTTATGATGGAATTCTGAGGATCCATACGCCAAATGTCAGAGCCATCGGATTTGCGGATGATCTCGCGTTAGTAGCCACGGCAACGAGCGACATTGCCCTGATGGATACAGTAAATAAAGCACTAGCAAAAGCAGATCAGTGGATAGAGGAGCACCACTTGACTTTGGCTCCAGAGAAAACAGAAGCGGTTGTACTTCGCAGAGACCGAATTCGAAGGAAAAGCGTAACCTTCCAGCTCAAGGGGGTGCAGATTGTTCTCTCCAAGGCAGTGATGTAACTTGGAGTATACATAGACTGTGAGAGAAGTTTCGGGGTACATATTAAAAGGGTGACGGAAAAAGCGGAGAAGAAAGCGGCAATACTGCCAAGACTAATGCCGAATATCGGAGGACCCAGCGTTAATAAACGCGTGATACTGAACGAGGTCATACAGTCAGTAGTCTTGTATGGAGCTCCAATTTGGCACCGAGCAGCCCTGCGCAAGAAACACCAGAAAACCCTAGACAGCCTACAACGTAAATCACTCCTGAGAGTGGCTAGTGCTTATCGTACCGCATCCACGAAGGCACTACAAGTGATAACAGGAATTCCGCCTCTATACATGCTGGTGGCGGAACGGACGGACATTCGGAAAACCGAGGGCGACATTGTCCAAAGACGGAAAGAAGCCAGACTAAAAACCTTGGAAAACTGGCAGCTGATGTGGACCCAAACCACAGAAGTGGCTCAGTGGATGAAAATGCTGATACCAACGATCAGATTATGGGTTGAGTGCAAGCATAGAACTACATGTTACTACCTCACCCAGGCCTTATCGGGACATGGACCTTTCCGCGCCTACAGGCACAAAATTGGCAGAGCCGCTGACGACAGATGCGGACACTGCGGAGACATAGATACTGCTGAGCATGCTCTATTTGCATGCACCAGATGGCACAGCTACAGATCCGAGGCTACCATACTTCTAGGCACGGAAATTGAACCGGAAAACATGGTCACATTAATGCTATCCTGCACAGAACACTGGAAGGCTATTCATACGATGATTCGAAAAATCCTAAGCAGCAAAGAAGCTGAAGAACGCCGCTCTGACTAAAATTGTCTTACTGTAACTGACCTGAATAGTTAAGACTCCCCTCATCAGCGCGAAGAATATCGCATGCGATGATACCAGCGGATGAGCGGGATCGAGGGGGAAGGGTTTAGTCCGAAGGCACCCCCGTTGGTGAATCGAGCATGCTCCTGAACATTCAATGCACTGTACGCCAGCTCGGAGTATCTATGAAGATTCCTAATCCCCTCGTTAAATAAAAAAAACAAACTATTACTACTACTACTGCTACTATTTCTTCTACTACTACTACTACTTTTTTTTCCTTGGGGGGAAATCACCAAGAGATACCTGAGACCGGATATCTAGTATCCGCATTCAGGTTATGCCACCTGTGCTAAAAACCCCTCCCCACCCTCATGCTGGGATTCGCCTGCGCTTACTACCAGCATGACTGTGTCTCACACATGTCTTCGTTTCCTCAGCGGTTTCTGCAGTAAAATTTCCATGTATATGTCCTAGGAGTTTGGGCTGTCCGTTCTTCTTTCATCCTTGTCTTTAATGGATAGTATTTCCCTGATGAATCTTTGTATTTGTATCCACGATTGGTTGTTCGCCATCATGGTGCTGGTCAGATTACTCTCCGTCAGAGCGTGTCCTAGACTAACAACGACTTGTGCCCTTTGTTGCTCCCATCTGTTGCACTCGAAGAGAGTGTGTGCAACTGTGTCTTTTTTTTGACAGTACATGCATTCATCGCTGTCTGATTTCTGTATTCTCTTCGTGAATACTCGAAAAGTACCATGCTGCGTTAGTGCCTGCGTTAAGTGGTAATCCAGTCGCCTGTGCTTGCAAGCAATCCACTTCCCGATGTCAGGTATTATTTTTTTGTCCACTGAGCCACGTCCTCCGTTAAGTGCCACTCGTCCTGCCATTTACTGATGGTGACCTCGCGCTCCTCCCTTCTGGCCCTCGCGGTTCTCCCATCTTCCCGGCGGTGCAGCCTCACTCTTTCTTCCACAAGCAAGTGGATCGGTGCTATCCCTGTAATAATCTGTAAGGCCTTCGTGGAGACTGTCTTGTAAGCACTCGCCACCCTCAGCAGCATCTTCCTTTGCACTCCGATGAACATGTGCCTGTATCTAGTAGTGCTCATTATGTCGTGCCAGATTGGGGCGCCGTAAAGTAATGTTGAAAGCACCACGCTATTTATAACCTCCCTCTTGTTGCTGGTAGGTCCGCCGATGTTTGGCATAATTCTTGCTAACGATGCTGCTTTTTTGTCTGCTTTTGCTGCCGTTGCCCGAATATGCTTCCGAAAGTGGCCTCCTTCTTCTAAGTGAATTCCTAGGTACTTAACAGACTTCTTTGGTGTTACGGAAGTTCCTCTGCAGTTAAAAGTAATACCAGCTTTACTCCGCTTCCCCTTTATGATGACAGCTTCTGTCTTCTCCGGTGCGAGTTCGAGGTGATGGGCCGTCATCCAGTTGTCCACTATCCTCAGGGCTAAATTTGCCGCACGCATAAGGGCCTCCTCATCCTGCGCTAGCACTATAACTGCCAAGTCGTTCGCGAACGCAGCGGCTTTTTACACCTTGTGGCGATTTACTCCTCAGTACCCCATCGTAAACCAAATTCCATAGAGTAGGGCCCAAGACTGAGCCCTGCGGTACACCGGATGTTATGTCTAAGGACTCTTCTTTGGCGATCTGGAGTGACCTTCCACTGAGGTAGGCACCTACGAGATTTCGGAGGTATGGTGGTATTTTCCTTGTTTTCAGCTCCTCCATTATGTTTTCCCACGGTAGCGAGTTGAAAGCGTTTTTGACGTCGACTGTGATGAGAACGCCCCATTTTTCCCTGCTGCCCTTAATGGTTTTAAGGACTTCGATAGCAAGAGAACGGTGCAGACTCATGGTCGGAAAAAGATCACCTTTATACCGGATGATGGGATAAACAAATCATACGTGAGGAAGATCCTAGAGTACGAGTTTCACAAAGCGGACATCGAGGTAAACTTGATGACAGCCAGAGGAAAAGACCGAGAGCACAGCAGACCCTGGTCAAGTAAAACACAAGCCCAATCTCAAGCGGTGATCGTTAAGAAAGGGGGCCGGCAGTACGCCGATCTCCTAAAGACAGTGAAGAAGAATATCGATTTAGGGAAAATCGGTGTCAAAGTCAGGAACATAAGAGAGACCGCAAGAGGAGACCTACTGCTGAACGTGGAAGGGGGTGGTGAGAAGGCAGACTCCCTTAAAAAAGAAATTGCCGCCCAGCTCAAGGATGTAGGTGTCTCCATATCCACTGTACACATCAGCGATATAGACCCTACAGTCACCGAGGAGGAGATCGAGGAAGCAATTTACGAGGCAACCCAAGTAGACAGAGCAGCACCAGTAAAGGTGTTGAATATGAGGCCCACCAGAGATGGAAATAGAATTGCAACCGTCAGGTTATCAAACCATATGGCGGAAGTCCTAAGCAACAGAGGCAAGCTGATGATACGCTGGGTGGCATGCAGAGTCCGTTAGAGAATAGCTGTAACCAGATGTTACAGATGCTTGGAATTCGGACACATACAAAAGGGATGCACAGGCAGGGACAGATCGGGAGAATGTCTGAGCTGCGGAAAAATGGGTCATAAAGCGAACGACTGCCAAACGGACCCTTTTTGTTCTTCGTGCCAAGAAGCCGGTCACCGCTCCGACTCAACCAGATGTCCTAAGTATAGGAGGATGGTGGAGGATACAGCAAAGAGGAGAGGCAGCTTCCGCAAGTAAACGTCAAGAGAAAAAAAAATGCCAGGACTGTCGAAGGTAATGCTACAAACAGGTTTAAACGAAATCTACGGAAAAGCCTGAGAATACTGCAAACGAACTTAGGCAGAGAAAGAGCAGCCCACGATATAGCCTTTGCCACGGTAGCCGAGTGTAACATAGACCTACTGATAGTGGGGGAACCTAATAAGACCATCATAAAAGCTCAAAAATGGATCAGCGACAAAAGAGGGGACGTTGCAGTGTACTTTAGAAATAGGGAAGTGACGGTTAAAAATATAAAGTACTACGACGGTTTTTTGGGCCTACACCTCGAGTTTTGCACTATATACTGTTGCTACATATCTCCAAATATTCCGATAAATGAGTTTCAGGATCTGATTGACAAGATAATATCTGAAATTGTCACATCAAGAAGGGAATGCGTGCTCTTGGGAGACATAAACGCAAAGAGCGTCGAGTGGGGATCCCCATTTACAGATAGTAGAGGAACGTACTTTTCTGAATGCCTTGCTGCTGCAAACATGGTTGTGCATAACACCGGAGATAACCCCACTTTTGTTAGAGGTAGCACAGAATCCTATATAGATGTCACATGTTCGACACAGAAGATCGCAGCAAACATGAAGAAATGGAGCGTCCTCAATGAGGATAGCATGACAGACCACAAATATATATATACTTTGAGGTAGATGAGCAGCTAAGCAGTAAAAAAGCTCAATCCTGGGGCTCAACCAAGACTTGTAACTGAGAAGTCGTTAGACAGGTACTCTCGTCCAAGCTAGTAGAATACCCAGAAAGCCGCATACAGAGGAAAACTTTACTGCCACCATTAAAAAAGCTTACCATGCTAGTCTCACTACTAATAACAATCATAGCGGAATGCCCTACTGGTGGAGCAACGATATCTCTCAACAGAGACAGAAGCGTCACAAGGCACGTAGAACCATCATGAGGCTCGTCAAACACAGGCACAGACATCCGGAAGCGATCATCGAAGAAGCTAGCTCCTTGTATAAAAGTCACAAAAAAATGCTTCAGCAAATAATCAAAGAGGCCAAGAAAAAACACTGGAACGAACTTTGTGACAGCATTAACGGGGACGTATGGGGAGACGGATATCGGATTGCCATGAGAAAATTCCGATGTTTCGCGCCCTATAGCATGACAAAAGAACGAAAGGAGATAGCAGAAGAACTGTTCCCACCACACGCAGTTAGGAGCTACAGTACAGAAACGGTCAACAACGTAGACATGTTCACGGAAGAGGAATTCGAACAAGCCATAGAAAAACTCAAAATGGGTAGAGCCCCTGGTCTTGATGGTATACCCCCAGAAGCAATTAAAGAGGCTTCGAAACTGTCACCAACCTGGGTTTTGGGCTTTTTAAACAACCTTCTCACCACACAGAGCTTTCCGGAATCTTGGAAACGGGCCAAACTCTTACTGATACCGAAATGAGAAGACAAATACAGACCCATTTGCTTGCTCTTGACAATTAGCAAGCTATATGAATTATTGATACTTGCTAGGCTACAGAAGGAAATCGATTACAAGGGTGGCCTATCAGAGTTCCAGTATGGTTTCAGAAAAATATACGTTGATGGCAGTGGACGAAGTCCTTAAAACCATTAAGGGCAGCAGGGAAAAATGGGGCGTTCTCATCACAGTCGACGTCAAAAACGCTTTCAACTCGCTACCGTGGGAAAACATAATGGAGGAGCTGAAAACAAGGAAAATACCACCATACCTCCGAAATCTCGTAGGTGCCTACCTCAGTGGAAGGTCACTCCAGATCGCCAAAGAAGAGTCCTTAGACATAACATCCGGTGTACCGCAGGGCTCAGTCTTGGGCCCTACTCTATGGAATTTGGTTTACGATGGGGTACTGAGGAGTAAATCGCCACAAGGTGTAAAAAGCCGCTGCGTTCGCGAACGACTTGGCAGTTATAGTGCTAGCGCAGGATGAGGAGGCCCTTATGCGTGCGGCAAATTTAGCCCTGAGGATAGTGGACAACTGGATGACGGCCCATCACCTCGAACTCGCACCGGAGAAGACAGAAGCTGTCATCATAAAGGGGAAGCGGAGTAAAGCTGGTATTACTTTTAACTGCAGAGGAACTTCCGTAACACCAAAGAAGTCTGTTAAGTACCTAGGAATTCACTTAGAAGAAGGAGGCCACTTTCGGAAGCATATTCGGGCAACGGCAGCAAAAGCAGACAAAAAAGCAGCATCGTTAGCAAGAATTATGCCAAACATCGGCGGACCTACCAGCAACAAGAGGGAGGTTATAAATAGCGTGGTGCTTTCAACATTACTTTACGGCGCCCCAATCTGGCACGACATAATGAGCACTACTAGATACAGGCACATGTTCATCGGAGTGCAAAGGAAGATGCTGCTGAGGGTGGCGAGTGCTTACAAGACAGTCTCCACGAAGGCCTTACAGATTATTACAGGGATAGCACCGATCCACTTGCTTGTGGAAGAAAGAGTGAGGCTGCACCGCCGGGAAAATGGGAGAACCGCGAGGGCCAGAAATGAGGAGCGCGAGGTCACCATCAGTAAATGGCAGGACGAGTGGCACTTAACGGAGGACGTGGCTCAGTGGACAAAAAAAATAATACCTGACATCGGGAAGTGGATTGCTTGCAAGCACAGGCGACTGGATTACCACTTAACGCAGGCACTAACGCAGCATGGTACTTTTCGAGTATTCACGAAGAGAATACAGAAATCAGACAGCGATGAATGCATGTACTGTCAAAAAAAAGACACAGTTGCACACACTCTCTTCGAGTGCAACAGATGGGAGCAACAAAGGGCACAAGTCGTTGTTAGTCTAGGACACGCTCTGACGGAGAGTAATCTGACCAGCACCATGATGGCGAACAACCAATCGTGGATACAAATACAAAGATTCATCAGGGAAATACTATCCATTAAAGACAAGGATGAAAGAAGAACGGACAGCCCAAACTCCTAGGACATATACATGGAAATTTTACTGCAGAAACCGCTGAGGAAACGAAGACATGTGTGAGACACAGTCATGCTGGTAGTAAGCGCAGGCGAATCCCAGCATGAGGGTGGGGAGGGGTTTTTAGCACAGGTGGCATAACCTGAATGCGGATACTAGATATCCGGTCTCAGGTATCTCTTGGTGATTTCCCCCCAAGGAAAAAAAGTAGTAGTAGTAGTAGAAGAAATAGTAGCAGTAGTAGTAGTAATAGTTTGTTTTTTTTATTTAACGAGGGGATTAGGAATCTTCATAGATACTCCGAGCTGGCGTACAGTGCATTGAATGTTCAGGAGCATGCTCGATTCACCAACGGGGGTGCTTACGGACTAAACCCTTCCCCCTCGATCCCGCTCATCCGCTGGTATCATCGCATGCGATATTCTTCGCGCTGATGAGGGGAGTCTTAACTATTCAGGTCAGTTACAGTAAGACAATTTTAGTCAGAGCGGCGTTCTTCAGCTTCTTTGCTGCTTAGGATTTTTCGAATCATCGTATGAATAGCCTTCCAGTGCAGGATAGTATTAATGTGACCATGTTTTCCGGTTCAATTTCCGTGCCTAGAAGTATGGTAGCCTCGGATCTGACTACTGACTGTATGACCTCGTTCAGTATCACGCGTTTATTAACGCTGGGTCCTCCGATATTCGGCATTAGTCTTGGCAGTATTGCCGCTTTCTTCTCCGCTTTTTCCGTCACCCTTTTAATATGTACCCCGAAACTTCTCTCACAGTCTATGTATACTCCAAGTTACATCACTGCCTTGGAGAGAACAATCTGCACCCCCTTGAGCTGGAAGGTTACGCTTTTCCTTCGAATTCGGTCTCTGCGAAGTACAACCGCTTCTGTTTTCTCTGGAGCCAAAGTCAAGTGGTGCTCCTCTATCCACTGATCTGCTTTTGCTAGTGCTTTATTTACTGTATCCATCAGGGCAATGTCGCTCGTTGCCGTGGCTACTAACGCGAGATCATCCGCAAATCCGATGGCTCTGACATTTGGCGTATGGATCCTCAGAATTCCATCATAAAAGATGTTCCACAGAAGTGGGCCCAAAGCGGATCCTTGGGGAACACCTGTGGTCATGGGAAGTTCTTCCTTGGCTACCTTTATCGTCCTGTTTTCTAGGTAACTGCTCACGATGTTTCGCAAGTACCTGGGAATATTCTGCTTCCTCAGTTCTTCCATAATTTTCCCACGAGGCTGTGTTAAATGCATTTCGAACGTCTAAGGTCACGAGTGCACACCACTTGTTCTTGGTCTTCTCCACAATTTGCAGCACGGCCTCAAGCGCGTCTGTTGTACTTCTGCCGTTTCTGAACCCGAACTGGTATGGCGACAGCCCGCTTGTTTCCTCCATTACGAGCAGTAGTCTCTCGCGAATCAGGATTTCATACAGCTTTCCTATTGTGTCCAGCAGACAGATGGGCCGGTAAGAAGATGCAAGTTCTGGTGGCCTGCCGCCCTTACTTAGTAAAACCACCTTCGCCTTCTTCCATCCTTCTGGAAAAGACTGTTCCCTAAGCAAATTGTTCAACAGGCTCAGCAACAAGTCTGGTCTCAACGTTAGTAGCTCCTTTATTGCTTCTGGCGGGACATTATCAGGGTCGGGTGCCTTTCCGTTCTTCAACTTTTGCACTTCCGCTTCAAGCTCTGCTATACTGAAAGGATCTATATCATCCTCGATGGGTTCCCTTAGCCATATATCTTGCCTTTCCGGAAAGAGTTCCCTTGCTA